CTCTCTCACTTCTATGTTTCTCTCTCTCTCTTCTTCCCTGTCTCCCTCCTGCTCTATCTGAAGATAAATGCAAAACTATCTTCTAGTGAGGATAAAAAAAATTAAAAAAAGAATTGGTCCTTTCCTCTAAATTGTCAACTTTATAAGAATAAAGTTGTTCATAATTACTTCCTTGTTAGTCTTTTAATTGCTGCCAGATATATAGTGATAACCCTGATTTCATTACTTCTATTGATGATTCATACCTTCTCTTTATTTTTGTAAGTCTTGCCAGCATTGCATCAATACCATTGATTTTTTTCCCTAAGAACCAGGCTTTTGTTTTGTTGGTTTTCTGTATTGTTTTCCTATTTTCAGTTTCATTGATTTCTGATCATATGATTAGTTCCTTCCTTTGCTTGCTCTGGGTTTATTTTGCTCTTCTTTTTCTCATACCTTGAGGGAAGTAACTAGATTACTGAGACCTTTCTCTGTTACAGTGTAAGTACTTATGCAAATGTCTCTCTCTATACTGCTTTAGCTTAATCCTACATATTTTGGTATGTTCTGTTTTCATTTTCATTCAAGTCTATGTATTTTTTTAAAAATTTCCTTTGAGACTTTCTCTTTTTGAGCCATGGATTACTTAAATTCTGTTGTTCAATTTTGATGTGTTAAGAGAAGTCCAATTGATTACTAATTTCATTCTATTATGGTTGGAGAACACACTCTGTATGATTTCAGCTCTGTTCGAGTTCTTGAGGTTTGTTTTAGACCCATATGGTCTATCTTGGTGAATGTTCTGTGTGCTTATGAAATGTATATTCTGCTCTTTTTAGGTGGAGTGTTTATATATGCTAATTAGATTCTGTTGATTGTGTTCAAAGATTTTTTTTAATATTCTTGCTGAATTTCTTTTTAGTAGTTCTATTAGTTGATAAAAGGGTTGTGAAAGTCCTCAACTGTAATTGTGCATTTGTCTATTTCTCCTTACAGCTCTATCAGTTTTTCTTGATGTATTTGGAAAGTCTTAGTTGGTACTTATACATTTAGGACTTTTATGTCTACTTAGTGGATCTATCTTTTTATCATCATGTAATACCCCTTTGTCTCCAGTAATTTTCTTTGCTCTGAAGTCACTTTGTTGGATATTAATATAGCCACTCCTACTTTTTAAACAATGTTTGCATGGTATATCTTTGGTAGGCCTTTTACTTTCAATCCATCTATGCCATTGAATTTGAAATGAGTTTCTTGTAAACAGCATGTAGTTGGGCCACTCTGCCAATCTTTGTTTTTTTTTTTTTTTTTTTTTTTTGATTGGTATATTTAGATCATGATTGGTATATTGGGATCATTTACATTTGATAATTATTGATATGTTAGAGCTTGACACTGCCATTTTATTATTTGTTTTCTGTTTGTTTCCTCTGGTATTGTTCCACTGTCTCTTTATCTTTGCTTTCCTGTGCATTGCATGGAGAATTTTTTAGGATTCTTTTTTTTTTTATCCTCACTTGAGAACACCTTTCCATTTTTTGTTCAGATAGAATGGGAGGGAGGGGGGGAGAGAGAGAGAGAGAGAGAGAGAGAAATATTGACACAAAAGAGACACATCATGTGGCTGCCTCCCGCACAGCCCCAACCAGGGCTGGGGACAAATCACAACCGAGATACGCTCCCTTGGCTGGAACTGAACCTGTGACTCATTGGTCCGCGGGATGACATTCTAACCGCTCAGCAAAACTGACCAGGGCTCTTTCTTTATTTTTAGTGTATTTGTATAGTTTTCATAATGGTCACTCTGGGTATTACAATATACACGTGACTGATCATAGTCTACTGGCATCAACATTTTACCACTTCAGGTGACTTTACTCCATTTAGGTTCCTTTACATAGGTTTTTTTTGGGGGGGGGGGGGTACATGCTCCTAGCAGGAACCGAACCTGGGACTCTCTGGTCCGCAGGTTGACGCTCCAACTGCTGAGCCAGACCGGCCAGGGCACATTCTTAACTTAAATATCCATGTCTTGAGCATCAGATGGTTTTATAACTTTTGTTTCAACCACCAAGTACATTTATAAAACTTAAGAGTTGAAGCATAACACAGGTTTGAACTATGTGGGTACACTTATATACAGTTTTTTTCAATAAATATGTTTGGTACTATAAATGTATTTTCTCTTTCTTATGATTTTAATAACATTTTATTTTTTCTAGCTGACTTTATTGTAAGAATGTGGTATATAATACATATACAAAATATGTGTTCATTGACTGTTTATGTTATTAGTCAGCAGTAGGCTATTAAGTTTGCGGGGGAGTCAGAAGTTATATGCAGATTTTCAACTGTCCAGGAGGTCGGCACCTCTAACTCCCACATTGTTCAAGGGTCAACTGTATACCAAAATTTCTGCTGTTTCTATTGTTTTGTTCTTCCTTCTTGAGGCACCAAGATTCCTTATTATTTCCTTTCTATTTGAAGAATTTCCTTTGGCTAGTCCTAAAGGTATGTCTACTAGCAACAGATCCTTCTAGTTTTCATTTGTCTAAGAATGTTCTTATTCCTGAAGGATAATTTCACCAGATACAGAATTCATGGTTGATGGTTCTTCTTTCAGCACTTAAAAAAATGTTGTCAGGGTCCTTCAACCTGGATTGCATTATTGTGTATACCAAAAAATTAAAAAGTAAAACACAGGAGTTTCCTATATATTATTTTAAAATAAAAACAATTTTCCCAACTTAAAAAAAAAAATGTTGTCACTTTCTTGTCTTGATGATTTCAGATGTGAAATCTGTCAGTTGAATTGGTTTTCTGTAGATAATGCATTGTTTCTCTCTCTCTTTTTTTTTTTTTTTTTTAATTTATTTTTTTGTTACAGATATTTTACCTTTTTTACCCCATTGGCACCCCCCTCCCCACCCCACCCCCGCCCCGTCCCTGGCTTAGTTGTCCAAGTCCATTGATCATGCATACATGCATATAAGTTCTGTGGTTTATCTCTTCCCACCCCCTCACCCCCTCTTCTGAGGGATGTCAGTCTGTGCCCTACTTCCATGTTTCTGGGTCTACTGTATTCCTCAGACTGTTATGTTCATTATATTCCATATATAAGTGAGATCATGTGGTATATATAATGCATTGTTTCTCAATGACTACTTCCAAAAATTTTCTTTGTCTGTAGTTTTCAGAAATTCAACTATGATGTGTCTTGCAGTGGATTTCTTTGAGTTTATCCTGTAAAGGCTTACTGAGCTTCTTAAATCTGTTGTGTGTATTTTGCCAAATTTGGGAAGTTTTCAGCCATTATTTCTTCGGATATTCTTTCAGCACCATACTTTTTCCTTTCCTTCTGGGACTCCAATGATATGATTGTTGGATCTTTTGTTACTGTCCCACAGATCCTTGAGACTTAATTCATATTTTTTTCCGTCTGTTTTCTCTTTTTTGTTCAGATTGGGTAAATTCAACTGAATTTTCAAGTTCAGTGATTCTGTCCTCTGTCATCTCCACTCTACTATTAAACCCATCCAGTGAGTTTTTTGTTTGTTTGTTTGTTTGTTTTTAATTTCTGTTGTTTTTTAAATTGAAAATCTTTATTAAAGCAGATAGTTTAGGTCTTTAATTCATCTCTAATACTGAGCTGCTAGTACAATACAATAGAGAATCACTTTAGTTTAGTGTCTCTGACTTCTTTATGTCTAAAAAAGGCTTAATGAATCAGAAGCACTCAAAAAAACAGATATCCCTGTGGAATTGTCTTTCCTGCTGAAAGAAATACTAGCAATAGCATGCAGGTGGACTAGCTTCAGCTGTGTAATTCAAACATCATAGTTTGAATTATATGCAAACTACATAGGCCACCACAGCTATTAAAACAACCCAAATATTATCAGTTTATTTCTTATATTGAAAGGTATACCAGCCCTGGCTGGTTTGACTCAGTGGTTAGTGAATCAGCCTGTGGACCAAAGGGTCTCGGGTTTGATTCCGGACAAGGGTATGTACCTGGGTTTTGGGTTTGACCCCCGGCCTTTGTCAGGTCCTACAAGAGGCAGCCAATCAATGTGTCTCTCACAACCATGTTTCTCTTTCTTCCTCTCTCTCTCCCTTCTACCTTATCTAGAAATCAATGGAAAAATATCCTCAGGTGAGGATTAACAAAAAAAGAAGAAAGGTATACTAATGATAATGAAATCAATACCACTATTGCATCTCTTTTGATTTTTCATAGCTTCAGATTTTCTCTGTTATTCATATATGTGTATTTTGGTACAGTACCAATGCCTTTCACACACTTCTAAAAACAGGTTCCAACCCTGGCCGGTTTGGCTCAGCGGTTGGAGCGTCGACCTGCGGTCCGGAGAGACCCGGATTTGGTTCCCACTAAGGGCACGTACCTTGGTTGCAGTTTGTCCCCAGCCCTGGTTGGGTTGTGTGGGTGGCAACCACTCAATATGTCCCTTTCACGGCGATGTTTCTCTCTTTCTCTCTCCCTCCTACTCTATCTGAACAAAAAATGGAAAAATGTCTTTGGGTGAGGATAAAAAAAACAAAACAAAAAACAGGTTCCAAACTCAATCCAACTTTGCTTTTAGCTAATAAAATTCTCACCTTGTGCCAAAATGTTAAATGCTATACAGTGTCAGTCTAATCCTCAACACTCTTACCTCTGCAAAAACAATGCTTCTACTTTGATCCCTTTTTCATAACTCTAGAGAGACTCATTCATCATCCTGAGGGGAAGCTTTCCTTTTAAAACTTTCTACTGCTTAAAATCTTTATGCAAATCATTAACTAGCGCTTAGCCTAAGGTTACAACACCGTGCCTTTTTTGGGCCTCTAAATAACATACTCTACAGGGCCCAAATCAGACTGCAAGGGAGAAGTATGAATTGTTGCTTTTTGTTTTAACAAAAAGTTATGGTGTAAGTCAGAGATTTAAAAATTAGCTTAAATGCATGGATAATATTTGTTCTAGGAGGTATTTACCTGACATTACCTTTGTTCTTTAGAACTCCAGTGGTAAACTTACTGACTTCCTGAGCTTCTACACACTCCCCTCCACAGTCATGCACCACCCTGCTCACAAGAGCCTCAAAGCTGCCTACTCCTTCTACAACATTCACACGGAGACACCCCTGCTAGACCTCATGAATGATGCGCTCATTATAGCTAAATTGGTAAGAAATTCACTACTTTTTGTTCTGTTTTTTCTAAATATGTATGTCAAAGTACATAAAGTATCTTACTTTATTTCCTTCCACATAGGAGGAATTCAGTTGAGTTTTATTTGTTTGCTTGTTTGTTTTACTTTGGTCAACATCAATCAAAGGAATAATTTTGATAAGTTAATTTTAAAATTTTAATGGCTATTTTCATCATTAATTCCATCGCAACTTAACCAAAAAGACATTTTATATCAGCTAGATACTTTAAACACTTACATAAGAATACATAAAACCCATAAGGAAAATAAGATATGATCCCATAATATAATACATGAGTGCTTGTTTTGCAGTAAATAATTAGCAACAGTAAGTTTTTTTATTCAAATAAATGGTCTATGTAATTTAAAATGAAAGGGATTTTATTTTTTAAATTAAGGGGATTATTGGTAAAATTTAAAAGTTTTTAAGTGAAAGAAATTAAATTAAAAATATGCTTTACTATATTTATATTGTTTTTTAAATTTCCTCAGTGTCATAGTTAGGATAATTACTAAATTCCCTTTAAAAAGAAATTGAAACAAGATACATTTTGATGTAATTATTGAATATGAGAAAATACTCTTCATGAGAATTGGGAACAACACATCAAAAGTGTTTTGCTTTCATTTACTAGTATTTGATCATTGATTAAAACAACATTACTAGTGGATGCCAAAATCAACATTATCTGATTCTTTGATCCTATTGCTCACTTTTAACTACTTTCCAAAAAAGGCCTGTAATAAGTTATTTAAGGTAAAAATGCTGAGAAATAGAAATGCTGAGAAATAGGTGCTTCATCTGTATCACATTTTGCATAGTATTATCTAACATTTTAAAGACATTCGATTTTTACTATTAAATTTTACCAAATTTATTTCCCATTATCAGCCCAAGATAAATACACTGTTTAAAGTTCTTACAACTTTGGTTTCTTGGCTGTACCTTGAGCTAAGTCAGAAGTTAGAAAGACCAGGAACTAACAGTTCTGGAGATGGAACCATCTAGTCAACTGTTACTTCTAAAGCAGGAACAAATATTTTCTGAATTTGTAATAGATTTTTTTATGTCATTGTTAGTCAGCATACTATATTTTGATTCAGCATTTCTAGATAATCTTGCTGACTTATTTACTGCTAGTTATATAAGGCAGTTTTGAACCGAATTCTTTTTTTTTTTTTTTAAGATAGAGTGGGAGGGAGAGAGAGAGAGAGAGAGAGAGAGACATTGACGTGAAAGGGACACATTGAATGGTTGCCACCCGCACAACCAACCAGGGCCGGGGACAAACTGCAACTGAGGTACATGCCCTTAGCGGGAACCGAACCGGGGTCTCTCTGGACCGCAGGCTGACTCTCTAACCACCAAGCCAAACCGGCCAGGGCTTGAACTGAATTCTTAACCCATATTGCATATATATATATTACAGACATTGAATCTTATTATAAATGCATATTCAGGTTATTAGAGGAATTCACTGTTATGCTGAAATACATACACAGAAAACACTCTAGTCTTTTGAAATTTTCAATTTTAAATCCCTTTTACATTGGCAGAAAGGATTTGATGTATTCAATGCACTAGATTTGATGGAAAATAAGACATTCTTGGAAAAACTCAAGTTTGGTATAGGAGATGGCAGTTTACAGTATTACTTGTACAATTGGAGGTGTCCAGGAACAGATTCTGAAAAGGTAAGAGAAGTTAATATACCCTTTACAAACTTAATACATTTACCTAGGAAATTTCATATTTCCCTTAGGATTATTAAGTTTTTTTAGTAGCTTTTAAAAAATACAGATCAACTATACTACATTATAATTTATCTCTTGTTTACCTACCTGTTCTTACTAGTTCATTTCTTCCTTCCCTTTAGGTTGGACTTGTATTACAGTAGGTGGATGTTTCCATTCCTAGAACTCTGACACCGTCATTTGTTAATATTTTATTTAATGATTCCTGGAACTGCCATTCCAAAGAATAAAAGCACAACTTAAGTGAAACTGATGCAGTTGGTAATAATCGGAAAAGATGAAAAAACATCCATATATGACCAATACTACATATTTCTAGCTAGAACATTAATATTCTTCCTTATTTTCCCACTGTTTACCCATTTGAAAGAGGGATGAAAGGGTACAAAGAGCACATTCCTCTAATTTTCAGACTTTTGACTGTCTCTTGATGAAGAGAAGGTTTTTGCATTCTCTAGAAAGGGACTTTTTTTATATGGACGGAACAGAAGTCACGGACTCGTGTACAAAAAATCTTTGCTATTGTGTGGAGATAAACTGCTGCATTTCTATTTATTAAGTGGTGGTCTGTTTGTCTGTGTAACAGAATAAAGGATCCATTTGGGAAATTTTTCCTTCTGTCACCTTCCATGCTATCATTGGGGACATTTCTGGAATCAGCACTTCCATAAGTCAATGATGAATGGTGGGTGTTTACATGTACAGTGAGATTAAAGTGTACTGGTGACTAGTACATTTATTTCTCCAGAAGCAAAGTTGCCAAATCAATAAATACAAATTTATACTTTAATTTTCAACAGGTTGGTGGATTGGTTCAAAAGCAAAGTTTTGTGCACATATGACATGTGTCCTCTGAAAGAGTGTGCACCCATGACTGACTAGACTTTTCTGCTGCTGCACAAACTCTTTTCTTCTCAGCAACAGCAAGGATATGTGAGGAAAAGGAAATGAAAGTGCTAAAGTCAAAGGAAATGCCTGGTGGAATTTATTAGTGCTATCAGGATATTGATAGTTTGAATGTTTTTTTACTTTTGCAAAATTGCACATATTCCTTTATGCTGACTTTATCATGAAAGCTGTCATGCGAATAGAAAATGGCTTATTTGTAAATAAGTATTCATAATTTTGTTACCGATGGTGTTTTTATCTAGAATTTGATAAAACAAGTCTCACAGTGTACATATGTGTATATATTGCCAGTCGTCCAAGGGGAAAAAAATGCTAAATGAGGCCACGTAAACTGGCCTTTACTCAAGTTTCCCAAAGTAGGTACTTCTTTCTATCTTCCCTCTTCCAGTGCCTAGGCTCTTCAGTCCAGAAAATTTTAATTATTTCAGACAACATGATAGCTTTTCCTTCGTGTTATAAGTAGTCATATGAAATCAATCTTATGTTATACTAGGCAGGGGCTAGCAAACTATGGCCTATCAGCTAAATCCAGCCCATCGCCTGTTTTTGTACAGCCCACAAGCTAAGGGTGGTTTTGTTTTGTTTTGTTAATCCTTACCGGAGAATATTTTTTCCACTGATTTTTAGATAGAGTAGAAGGGAGTGAGGGAGACAGAAATATCAATGTGAGAGACATACCGGTTGGTTGCCTCCCACACTACCCCAACTGGGGCCAGGGATTGAACCTGCAACTCAGGTACATGCCCTTGACCGGGAATAAAACCCTTGACCCTTCAGTCCCTGGCCCATGCTAACCACTGAGCAAAACCAGCCAAGGCACTTTTTACATTTTTGAGTGATTGAAGGAATAACATTTTGTGACACAGGAGAATTGTATGAAAATCAAATTCAGCATCCATAAAGTTTTATTGGGACACAGCCACACTCATTTATGTACTGCCTATGACTGCGTCATGCTACAAAAGGCAGAGTTGCGTTGTTTCAATAGAGATTGCATGAACCAAAAAGCGCAACGGCCCTTACAGAAAAAAAATCGGTTGATCCTGATTTACACTGAGGAGCTAAAAGCCACTTTTCTGCAGCCTGCCATCATCTGCAAGACCAACCCACAACTTGGTGCCAGAGACTATCAGTAGAGGGCGCACATGAGCCCTACAGTAGAGCATACTTAGGACAGTGCTGTGTACTTTCGTGAAGGCTATTACCATTCTTTAACAGAAAATGAAGACCTGAAGCAAAACTGAACCAATTCACTGAAACTTTTTGAGACACCAGCATCAAATAAATTAGGTTTTAGCTCAATTTGGAGTCAAAGCTCAGTTGGGAATTATATTCCATTCATTTTTACAGCAGTTATACAAAGTAGGTTTCAAATTGCAGAATTGCCAGTCAGAAATTTTGTCATGAGCTTACCTTGTGATGAAACCGTGGCATTCTTTTTAAAAAATCTTTATTGTTGAAGGTATTACAGATGTCCCTCCTTTTTCCCCTCCACCGTCCTCTCTGCCCTGTTTCTTTATTCATTTATAAAATTCCAGTAAAATTTTATTTTGTCATTTAATAAAAACTAGCACATTTGCCTTTATAATTTAAGCAGATTGTCAATGAACATTTACAAATAATCAGTATAACTGCTTGTGTTTATTAACTAGGTATTAGAACTATATTTCAATGTAGTTATAGTGTTATATATATTTAAAAAAAACAAACTCCATTTGTCCAGCATCCTTTGTCAGTAATGGAAATGCTCTATTTCATAAGGGATCCGTTTTTGTTTTGTTTTCTTTGGCCAGGATGGCATTCAATAAAGTTTAAATGAGTGGCATAATTCCAGAAAAGAAATTTAGGTGGCATAATCCATGCATCAACCAGAATTTAAGCTGAAAATGAGCTTTAGCCACTCTTGCCCCTAAATTAGAAAAGGTTACTTTTCCAAACACATACTGTAAGTAGCAGACACTAACATAACCAGTGTTGATTATGCTGTTTCCTAACATGAAGGATGCCCATCATTGCAGACCCACTTCTGAGAATCTAAGCTCCTCCGTATTTTTATTTTCTTCCTGCTTCATTTCATCTAATAACCATCACACTTTTTATATATGTTAAATTTCCAAGGAAATGTTAACCATGTAAAGGGGTAAAGTCTTAACTAGTCATATCTGGCTTTTTCTATAAGTATTAAGCCTTTCTCCTGTGCCCATGCTTAGACCTACCAAACGTAAGTCAAAAGGAAGGAAGAAAAAACTGATGTACTGTTTCTGAAGACAATGTATTGCTTAGCATTTAGTATCTTTCCTTTGAAATTGATGACGTATCTGCAATCCAGATTCATCTACTCTACCAACTAGAACCATGTTTACTGCGTACATTTTCCAAGCGTGAGAGAAAGATGATAAGTGCTGTAGGATACAGATGTTCTTGCTAACAAGCATTGTACAAACCTTTTAAAAAGTGAATTTTCACAAGCATGGACATTAGTTTCAATAAACTTTTGATATGCATACTTCTGAGTATTTTCTGCACTTAGTGTCTTTAAGCATATTTGTGCTATCTAAAAAGTCTTACACATTTTTAAGAAACATTACCACACATCTCCCACAAATCTATGTAAAAGTAACTCAGTTTATTAGTTTCAAGTTTTTTATTTTAACGTGTCATTTTCCAGTTGTTTGAAGTGACAAGTTTATACATGATTACTTTGAAGTCGTTTTTTTACTTTTGGGTGGTTTCCTCTTTTTATTAGGGTTTGGAATCAGTTTCTTTATTTTAAGAGGTTGTAGCACTATAGCCTGCTGGCCTTCAGTGAGCTTTCTCTTATGCTTAGAGAGGTCTTCAAAGGAAGTGTCCAAAATCTCTTGGCTTTGCAAAGATTCAGACTCTGAATTTTCCCTGGAGTCTTCCAGTCTGTCTTGTAGCCATGGTACATTTAAATTGGGTACTCTGGGGATTATAGCTTCTACTTCATTGACAAAGTCGGTGGTATTCTTTTTGAATCCCAAGGCCAGGATACATTTTAAGCCAATGACAGGTGCAATTCTCTCACTGAGACGGGGAACCTGACAAGCAGGAACCATTCTGCTTAAACTTAACTGAATCAGGTGTGAGGTGATGATTGCAGGCTTGGCTGACTTACACACTAGAACCAAAAGCAGTTCGTTCCGTTCCAGAGCCCTGGTGACTTCATTAACGCCAATGGCAAGCTGCTTCCTGACATGGACAGAAGTCCATCCTGACACTTGTTGGTTATCTTCTGTTTTTTTCTCCTTCAGATCCTCACTCATATCAACATCTGTGCTACATTTGTTTCTGCCATGTTTTTTTAAAAAAGGCTGCTTTTTACTTCTCTTTTTATCCTCAATCTTCTCAAGCCCAATAGATTTAAATCTGTCTTCCAGTGTCTGTAAGATGAAGTTTAAATCCTCTCTCTCCAGAGCACTCCAGCAGATTGTATATGGGTTGTTCAGTGATGTCTTTACAGTTAAAGGTCTTGTCTTCCGAACAGAGCCCCTCCCTGGTGCCTGAGGAGCTGCAGCCATTCCAAAAATCCTTCATTGAAGAGCAAAATGACAAAGGAAATTTTGTGTTAACTAGCAGTGCATGTCTTAGGAACATCCTGGTTGTACTTGTTCTGATTCTTTACAGGCCTAATTATAGAGGGTCGATTATGTGACCATACACTTAACCTCTCTTTTAAGATTCAATAATTTATTTTCCCCACTTTTTTCATATGACTGTCTTTACTCATAAACAGGCAATATATGAACGTTTTGCATTATTTCAATTACAGTGAAATTCTATTTGTTTTGTTTATTAAAAATATTCCATGTTTCTACTTGTTCAAAATTATTTATCCTTTTTTCTTTTAATCCTCACCCAAGGATATTTTTCTATTTATCATCAGATAGAGTGGGAGGGAGGGAGAGAGAGAGAGACATCAGTGTGAGAGACACATCAACTGGTTGCCTCCTGCATGACCTGACCTGGGTGGGGATGAACCACAACTGAGTATGTGCCCTTGATTAGGTCGAACCCGTGACTGGTTGGTCCTCGGGCCAAAGCTCTAAGCAAAATCAGCCAGGGCTTATTTATCCTCTTAATGACTGTATGGTATTAACCTTATAGATTTGTTACCATTTTCTAAATTCCTCTCTGGTTAGGCTTGCATTCATTCAACATATATTCACTGAGCACCTCCAATGTGCAGGCAGTGTTCTAGGCACTGGGGTCCCCACATCCACCCACATAAGTCTGCATGCATGGAGCTTACAATCTTGGAGGACCCTGGAAGCCTCTGCCATTTATAATTAATTAGATGTGATTTCTTTAAAGAACTGAAACAGTAACACATGCCATATACACATGATTAAATTCAAATGATACTTTCATTTTATGCCCTCTTGTGAGTCTTCCTCCCTGAACCCTGAGCTGCTTATATATCCTTCCTAAAACATTTGATACATATGCAGCTGGGCAGCCCCCCTTCCTACAGTTATTCAAGCCGACTGCTCCTCCAGCTGGCAATTTGATGAAAGCTAGGAAAATTTTGTAATGAAATTTGAAGATGTTAATCCATTAAGGAAATAACCAGAAGGAGCCTTACTGCGAAAATGTTATAAAACACTAGTCTAGGAAATATATCCTGTTTCACCTCCCAGA